GATATGGAGTGACTACTGTATTTAACTGAAAATCAGAGAAAGGAAAAAAAAAAACTTAAATTGTAGAGAAGTGTTGGGCTATGTAATTATTTGTAGTAAGTGGAACTCATTGTGATGCTCTTCATTTACCTTATTACTTCAATTGTTACTTGAAGATGGCATAATATATAATTTATCTTGTGGTATCAGTGATAGAAATGATCATATATAGTTGATATGTCATATATATTATACAATACATGTATAACAAATGTAGATTCTATATATATAAAACTATGTTGATCAGTTCTGGTTATATTCATTTTTTCCTTTTCTTTGGACCATGATAAGCCCCTGAGTAGTAACTTCCAGGGCTGAGTTAAACTTAACTTAGAAGTTATAAGTGAAGAGAGAAGAGACTGTTACATGGGAGAGAAGTAATTTGCATGTGTAAAATGGGAAGGCATTTCTTAAGTATGTCTACAGGGTTACTGTGAATCATTTGATTTATACTGCAAAGTAACTGTAATTTAATGTTGGGAGTATCAAAAATTGTGATGAGTAGCTTTAATTGTATGTTTAAAAGTCATCCTATGTTCACATGCTTAAATCTGGATATCAGAATTATGTATAATATATGAATATTTTCTTCTTATATTGATTATAATGATTTTTCAATATGTATCACTACAGACTTTTTTTTAACCTTCAGATCAAAGAATTGGCTTTTCACTAATTAAGTATATAACTTTTCTGAATAATAAAAAAAATACTGTTTGTTTTTAAAAAGCCCTCATAATTAGATTGGGCCCTTTCAGACAATTCAGGAAAATCTTCCTAATTTTGAAGTCTGTAGCCTTAATTACATCTGCAAAGTCTCTTTCTCCACGTAATATAGCACATTTACAGCTTCTAGAGATTAGAACATGGACATCTTTGGGGAGCCATTCTACCTATCGTAGTACAGGAAAAATAATATAAACTATTTCATTATGCTTATACTGTATTATGCTTATACAGTATAATGCTTATACTGATCACATGCTGAAATAATATTTTGGATATATTAGGTTAAATAAAATATGTTATTAAAATTTATTTCATCTGTTTCTTACCAGTTTTTTAATGAGCTCCTAGAATGTTTAAAATTATGTATGTGGCTCCTATTTGTGCCTTGCATTACACTTCTATTGGCCAGCACTAGTGTAGACCTAGAGAGAGGTCAAATTCTTTTTACCATCCTCATAGTTTCTGACATTCAATCTGTGGACCCACCTCCTCCATGAGAAATGCTTCCCTTATAATCAGGGGTGGCCTTACACTTTAGGTCTCCCACAACTAAAGACAGTATAGTATAATACAAAATCCATAACTTTTATACAAGAAATACTCAAAAATCATGATGGAACATGGAGATGTGGGTACAGGGGCTCACTTCCTTACAAGGGAAGGACCCCTGGTGAACCCTATCTATAATTGATTACTGGTAATCCCAATGATTACTGTCCTGGCACCATGAGAGCAGAGGTTTCTTTTAGATGTCTTTTGGTTTCTAGTGGTTGGCACATAGAAGGGTCCTTCCAATGAATATTTGCTAAACCAACTGAATCTAGACGTCAGTGCTTAACTGGTTAAAATAAAAAAGAATAGACTTTGGAAAGTAAGTCAGCTACCCTCTATTTCTTAATAATGATAAACATTTGCATACTTTACTGAGAGGACAGCTTCCGTTTGGAACTGTGTACCAATACTTAATGGTTGCATCTTTATGAGACAAGAGAGTGTGATGATGCTCAAGAAAAAAAAATATCTTTCACCAAAATGACCACTCTAATTAACCAAATGTTTTCATTGCTTTGTATTTTATTTGGCTTTGGTGACTAAAGCAAACCAAAAAAACTGTGACTATTTTCAAAATTGTATTTCAAATAGATTTTTTTTGGGCCTGCCACTTTGGTGTTTAGTGTTTGGTGTTTCATTCGATCTTTATTTGTTTAATTTAGCACAATACTGAAAGATTTCTACTAAAATGTTAGGTCCTACCACTTTCTGTGCTTCACCTAGCAAAAAAGCCAGGTCATTTCTAGGAGTTGAAAAGCAGCACAAAAAAAGTTCACGTACCCTTATCTAATCCTCCAACCCTAGGCAAACTAAAAGCCCTTTCCAGGGCTTTGCTTCACAGTTTCTGGAACTGTACCTGCTTCCAGCCCCAGATGTGATCTTGCACAAGGTAGGCAGAATCACTGTGACAATCTCACAGTCTATCAGCTACAGAGCTAAGGATTCTCTGAGGAGAAGTTAGGATTGCTGAGAAAGCACAGGCTGCTGAATGTTCCTCTCCTGCCAGACATAAACCTGATGCAAGACAGAATTATGAGAAACCAGATTCATCATACCCATCCTCCCTTTCAGTAATCTGGCAGGTACAAAAGAAGGACTGAATACCAATAAAAAGATAATATAAATAAACATTTTTTTTAAAATTTACTAATTAAAAGGACTGATAGATGGAGTAATGCATTCTTCAAAATCTATTGTCATGCCTTTGTGGACTTTATTGCTTATCAGCAGTTTTCCCCTTCAGGAAAAACAGAACAGCAACATTTGTTCAGAATAAAGCAAATTGTGTTTCTTCCTTTCTTATTACTTTTATTGTTTGAGGTTTCTTTTAGACTATAATGTGGCATTGTGATTTTGAGATGGGAAAAAAAATTCCTTGTCTTTCAAACATAAGAATGTGATTGTGTGCTATTGTTGCCAACAATGAGCTAAAGAGGTTAATGGATCACATATCTGGCAAACAGCCATCTTTCCTCCTGCTCAATATATTACACAATATGCATTTTGTTGTTGCTGCTGAGCTTAAGATTTTGTCTGAGTAGTTGGTAAATAAGTTTACTTAGATTTAAGTTATCTCTTTCTAGAACTCAACAGCTTTGTCATTCAGGCTGTATCCTGAAATTTAAAAAGCGCAGTTTAAGGTCTGAGCCATGACCTTTCGAGGTGATGGGGAGTGAGCCTGGAGAAGGAGGTGGGGCTGGCTGTTGAATGAAAATCTGGAAATATTGTGCCTTGTGAATTGCATTCAACCTTTCATTTTCAGATTGCCTAAATTAACAGAGTGAAATTACCATAATAAAAGGAATGGATACTGGAGAAAGCACAGCAATTCTTTCTAGTGTTGTTGCCCATGATCATTCCAACAGACTTCTAATTAAATGGGCCAACCCTCTCCACTGACCCCAAGTTGACTCAACTTTGCGTTCTATGACTGTCATTTAAAAACAGACAAGCCGTCATAACCAATAATGTTGTGATTTCTTGCCCAAAGGACTTTTCTGTACACTGCATTTGTACTATGGAATGTAAGCAAGAGAGCTAATATCTCCAAAGTATTTAGAGGGGGAAAAAGGTTTTATTTTTAGGGAACCACAGGAGGAAAACTTTATCAATGAGAAATAGTTTTCTTGGTAATTTTGGTTGAGTAGAGATGTAAGCTGAAGGAGGGTATCAGAGTTGGAAGAGAAGCAGCAATGCATCAGCCTCCTTAGATCAGATGGGATCCTTTCAATTAGGCAAAGAGCACAGCAAACAGCACGTAGAATCAGTTCCCTGGCCTGCAGTTTGGCTGGGGGCAAGGAGCATGAGGGACACAGACTGAATGGGAAGGCGAGTGTGCCTCTCTGCTTTGGGACTGGGACCTAAAATAAAGCTGAGTCCTGAGCTCCGCTTCCCAGCTAGGCGGTGATCGCCCCCTGTGACTCCGGATGCACACAGCAGTACCAGGCACCGCCACTGCCGCCGCCCGGCCCCTCACCGCCTCCAGCTTTCCTGACTGCCACGCTGGAGCACAAACCAGCTTCCGGGACACCTGTGTGTCCCAAGCTCCGGGTCTAGGCCCCTTTCTCTCCAGGGAGACAGTTCTTAGCTCCTCAGAGACTAGGTCTCTCCGACCTCCGTGTCCCCGGGTTCTGCCAACCTGGCTGGTCACCTCCACGGCTTCTCTAAGCTGCGACTTCAGTCCGCCAGGGAGCCTTGCGTGCCTACCTGGCCGCCCCACCGTGGTGCTCGCCCGCAGTTCCCGCGCCTGGGTGGGACGAGCGGTGGCTCAGCTACAGGATCTCCGCCTCCGGGTAAATCCTTCTCCCCCTTATCTGCCTAAGGCCCTGCCCTCTCCCAGCAGCAAGCCGCTCGGGTGTGTGCGCCCATCTCTCCGCTGAAGACACCTGTGCTTCCTTCCCCACCAGCCTCCTCCTCCCTTTCGCTGCGGTTTCTCCGCTGCCTTTGGGAGCTCGGGAGCGGCAGCTGGAGGAGGAGCAGGGGGAGGAGGGGAGAGCGAGGAGGAGTAGGGGCGGGGTGGGTGGGGAGAGAGCCGGGAGGGTGTGGACCGGCAGCCACTCTGCAGCTGGTCGCCGGGGACCCGGTCCCTCCTGCGCGCCCAAGTGATGGAGGGGAAGAGATTCGCTTAGACACACACACACGCGCACACAGCTGGGCACGTCTCCGGGAGGCAGCTGCCTGCTCGGGCGCGCCGGGGGCCGGGCGGCGGCCGTGACAGCGCCAGCCGCGAGGAGTGGGGCGCCGGCACAGCTTGGCACCCGCGGCTCGAGGACGCAGGAAGGGAAGATCCCAGCCACACTGAGTGCTGCTCTTTTGGGCGAATCGAGAGGGAGCGGGCTGCCGGAGGAGCTGTCACCGAGGACGCCCAAAGCTCTCGCCCTCCGTGCGCAGAGTCCGCAGCTGCGCCCGTGCCCTAGTGGGCGAGGAGGATGCGCACCTCCTCCAGCCCAGAGGCTGCGGTCTCCGGCACTGCGCGGACTCGGGCCCCGGCGGCCGCCCGTGTCGTGCCCGCGCCACGGGAGCGCGCCCTGCCGCACCTGGCTTCAGCCTCCTGGGGAAGTGCGGGAAACGCGCCCTAAACTCCACTACTTCTCGCCCGCCTACCCCCCTCACAGCTCCCCGCCCCGGACCTGGCCGCCGCCGCCGCCTGCGTGTGGGGCCCGCCCGCCTCTTACTCACACGCGCGCACGCACAGCTCGCTCGCTCCCATTCACGCCGACTGGCTCTCCGCGGAGCCCTAGCCCGGGCAACAGAAACTACTGGACCAACTGCCGCCCGGACCGCAGGAGCGGCCCCGTGGCCCGGCGCGACCCGCCGCCGGCCCCTGCGCCCTGGGTTCCCGCCCGCGCTGCCGCCGCCGGGGACGATGGTGAGCAGGGCGCGCTGCCCGCCTCGCGCGGGGGAGGGGCTGGAGCACACCGGGCTGAGACCTCGTAGATTTTGGGGGAAATAACAGTAACGGAAATCGCTAAGGGAAGGAGGCATCCGTGGGATTCCAGCCAAAAGCACTTTGTGGGGTGCGGTTCTCCTGCGCGCTGCCTGGGGAAGACTTTTGAGACATTTGCAGGGGCTCAGCGTTAAACTAGTGCTAGCTGAGGAACGGAGGGGGCAATTCCCGGGGTAAATTTAGACAGTCAAGTCAATGTCAGTCAGTCTGTCTGGTTGTCTGTTTTTCTCTCCATCTCTTGCCCAGAGTGCTACACCCAGCTCTCTATTGCAGGCGAGAGAGAACACGCGTTCACTGCGCTCGTCAGAGTTTGGGGGCTCGCGCTCGGCCACTTCTTGGGGTGGCTGTGGGGCTGTTGCTTGGAGCACGAGCGCGAGGGCGCCTTTAGGGGATTGAGGGGCTTCGAGACTGGAGCAGAGGGCAGGCAGAGGACAGTCAAAGGTTCAGTTAACTTGTGGGTGCGGTGCCTTCTCTCTGGAGCTGGCCTCCACCCCTCACCGCACCAGTCCGTGCTCACTCACAGCCCCACTACGCTCAACCCTTCCCGTTTACCCCAACACACACAGACACGCACACACACGAGATGGATGCAGTCGAGGGGGTGGCCATGTAGTTATTACTACGAGGTCTTCCGAGGTCGCTGTAGCTACTGACCGGAACGCTGAGACTCCTGCCCCTGGCACTTGGGTGTCCACTTTGGTTTAGGGAAGCAAGGAAGGAGCGTCCAGCCTGATGTGTATACCTTTACCTGGAGGCTTCCGGTGCACAGCAAGGAAACCTCCACCACAACTCGGGAATCACTTCACCCTGGTGGGTCCCCTCTCCAGCTTCACTCTTTGAGTGCTTCAGGGGACCCACCCAAGGGAGATGCCGCTTCTATCCGCGGCCCCTAGTCCTCTCCCCGCGGGGCGTCTCTCTCTCTCTCTCTCTCTCTCTCTCTCTCATATCTCTATCTCCATCTCTCTCCCTTCTCTCCTTTCTCTCCCTCTTTCCCTATGAATAGCAGTTTCTTCATGGAAAACATTGATCCCTTAAGGGGAAATTTAATATTTGCAAAGTGCTTTATGTCATATTACTTCGTGGATACATTTAATTGCACTGTAACTCTTCTCTGATTTATGTAAACTTAGCCTGATAAATAGCATGCAGGGTCGGGGTGGGTGGAAAGGAAAGTGAGTGGGCATTCTTTCTGTGACAGTGCTCCTTTCTAAACTGATTTGCTAGAAGTAATAAAAAGCTAGTGCTTCTGAAAGGTTTTGTTCAGTAATTTCTACGTATGTCAGAGGTTTAGACAAATTTCACATTACAATTTAGTTCAAATATATTCAGCTTCTTTTCAAAGAAAAAGTTAAAAAGAAGATAATAAAAGGGGATTACGCATCAAAAATGACTATTTTAAAGATGTTTTTATTGGTATCAATTATGTTGCAACATATTTCTTTTTAAGTTACCTCAGTGTTTCCTCCTAGTGAAGTTCTTAAAAAAGAAATGAAAACAATACTACTTCCCTACCTCCCTGTGTTTGCTTACAAATGGTCATTGCTCAAAGTGACTGAGCATCAGTGCAGGTATTTTTACTTCAGGAATATGAAATTATTTACCAGTGAACTGATGGAGACTCGAGAAGATATAAGAAACATAATTATGGGAAGGAAACTGTTGCTTAAATTTAAATGCCTCTGCTGCAGGGTGTTTTAACAGTGAAAAGGAAAACTACTCTGGCCTCTCCCAGGTTACTCTGGCCTTTATGAAAGCATGTTTTTCTCAATTAATAAAATATATGGGAACTTCATTACTCTTGTAAAATAATATTTCCAAGTAGATACCTAAGTAGATTATATGGGAAATTATGAGCCCAGTATTCAGTGGAGTATTGCAGCAAGTACTGAGATAGATCATGGTTTGGGGGTTAAACCAGAGCTCATGCTTACATTTTAATACTTGAAGTTGTTCCCTTGAACATCTTTGTGAGGAGGTGCTGCTTGAAGTGTTTTCATTATGCTTGCATCATTGTCCTCACCATTTCACAGGCACATACAGATGTTTTTGAATGAATAACCTTGTTACTTGCTGAATTTTTACTCATTCAAAAAGTATTTATTGAGCACATGAGCACACAATATGCAAAGCTGAAGTGGGGAGTTATTTGAAACAACAAGGAAGGATTTTGGAGAGAAGCAGGATGCTTACTCCTACACAGTGTAAACAGAACTGTAGAATAGTGGCTTACTTAGAGAAGCAGCATCTTGCCTGAAGTAGGTGGTCAACAAAGAGCTGTTGACTCAAAAATCATATAAGCTGTTAACTAGCCAACTTTGTTTTCACCCTAAATTCCACCATTATTCTTAACCCACCATGTCATTTAGATGTGACTCATCTTCAGAGAATTGATGTTGACTCTAATCTTCTTGCTCTTTGTCTGAGTACTTTAGAGTAATATAACTATCTGTGTACTGTATGATTTCTAACTCTGGCTTTCTCTGTATGATTTCTATGGAATAGTGCCAGATCTGAATATGTCATTAGTATTCATTTAAAAGTAAATGCAAATGTTCCTGTTGCATTGAAAAAGTATACTTGAATTCATAGAACACACAAAATATTTTGCCCCTTAATTTTCTCATCTCTCTATTTTTTATAATCTCAGAAACAGTAATATCTCTTAAAATGCAATTATATGTAAATGAGCAAGTTAACAAAATAGTTACATATAATGTTTTAGAAAAGTTGAAATTTCTTCTGGAAATTTTAGTTGAGGAGAATTTTCTTTGAATCTCTTGGCATGCTTGGCAAGGTGGTCTTTTATCTTGGGAACCCTCATTCATAAATAAAATAATTCTTAAGATAACTTCCTAGTAAAAGAAGCTAGTGGAGGAGAGAATGCTTGCTAAAAATGAATTGAAAACCTCTGGGACTAGAATATGAGCAGTGACACTAGAGTTGTGTAGTGAAATGATGTGACTACTTATATATTTTATTGGTCTTTATGTGTGACTTTTGGGGATTTTTAAGTACTTTGTTCCAATATTTCCATATTCTGAGATTATTACAATTAAGTGAAGAGTTACTATTTGATAATGGAATTATAGTTTATTTCAAGTAAAGCTGAATAGTTGGAGAAGAGAGAACAAGTCAAGTTAAGGAAATAATAATTCAAACCACAGATTTATCCTCGTTTAACTCCTGTTCTTTTTTGGTGGGGGGAACTCAAAACAAAAATAACTATTTAAACCTTTCATTATGACTATATTGTTACTATTCAGAAAAATCCTCTATTTTAATTTTTCTATGAATTTAATATGAATTATTTAAAACCAGAAGAAGTATAATCTTATATATTTTTTCTGGAATCTAAAATTTGTGACAAATTTTGCTTCCTTTGGAATCAATGTTTGTTTCTGAGTTGTGATTTTATCTAACCTTTACAGCAGAAATGCAATTAAGGCAATATATTAATCACTACTTTTAAAAATCACTGATCTAAGTAAAAAACATTTCACAGTAGCTAACATTTATAAAATATAAGAGTAAAAGATTACATCTGGAAATCTGCATGACGTATAGGTGGGATAAATGAACCTCTTGAAATCTCATACGCAAATTTCATTATCATGCTTTAGTATTAATTAACAATGGACTATCTTCCATCTTATTGAAAAGTTTTATGAAGGAAAGCTAGCTCAGTATTAGGAAGTAGTTGATGAGTTGATTTGACTTTAGACCACTTTACCTAGCTTGACTGTGCATAGGGGAATAAGTTATACATATATACACATACAAATATATGTGTGTACATACACATATACATATACACAGATATATACACCTATTTGGCATATATTTATGTTTCTGTTTATGTGTATATCTGTGTTTTGTCTGATAACCTTGTACAATAGGAAGAGAATCCCTTTGTGACATATATGGTTTATGAAGTCAGCATCATCTTGAGAATGGTACTCATAAACACTCAACAAGTTTGATATTAAAAATTTGGAATGTGATAAGCTCTTTTGAACAATTTATTTAAGGAACACTTGTAATAACCATTAGTATATCCCTGACACTGTCTAAAAAGCTCTACTAATATGAACTCATTTAATTACAGCAGCCCCCCCATCATCCCCCATTTTACAGAGGGAAAATAAGTAGGTAAATCTGTTATTATTACTATTGTTGCTGTTATTTAGAAAATGAGGAAAGTGAGGCTTCGTGAGCATATTGGCTCCAGCTCCACAGCTACTAAATGGCAGAACTGGCATTTGGGCCCAGACAGTCCACTCTGCTATGACACAGCTCTCGAAGCGGTTTTGTGTATATGTGTGTTATGTATATATGTGTACATATATATTTACTTAAATAGGAGGCAAAGTGGGAAGCAAGTTGCGAAGCAAATAGATTCTACCAACTGAGATTTATGACAGTTTTCAACTTAGAGTGAATTCTTAAGAAATTCATAAGGAAGGTGACTGTAATGAAGCAGTGACATAACCTGAACCAGAGCAGTACTTGAGCATAGTGCTATAACTTAATGTAGTTTTTAATGGACTCAATAATTTCCAAGCTACTTTTAAATTAGGTAACTTCAAGAACTGATTCCATATTTAAGTAGTTTTAATAGCTCAGAGGATCTGATATTGAATGTTTTATGCTTCCCATGATATCCTTATAATGTGAACTTCTTGCACAGGGGATCAGTGTTGTGTGTTACTACAGTGTATGGTTCTTGCCAAAGGAATCTGAGTCATATAGGAGATGTGAAATGAGACTTATTCTGCTCAGACCTAACCACACATAGTAGGTGTGTTTACTGCATGCAGGGTATTCCACAAGTTGCTAGTCCAGAGGTAAGAAAAAACTTCAAATGCTTTTATAATTACACAGTTTTAAGACATGATTTAATACTGAGTAGACATTTTCCTTTG